TGGTCTTTCCCACTCAGCTACCCTGAGGTCTAGCAGGAGTTGTGCCATCACAAAAAAAAAGTAAATGTACCATGCGCAACACTTGCAAAATTCCAGGAGTTTTAGATGCCCTTTTCTAAAATCCAAGAAAGATGACCAAATGTGTTTTATGAGATCACATGAGAGAAGTGGCACTTATCAAGGTGGGGTCACTCACCCAGAGTCACACAGCCTGCAGGTGGGCTCAGAAATGTCATGTGGCACTTGGCATATATCTGTCATTTTATTGAGTTTCCTTTTATATCAGAGGGACTAAAACTTAAACACTAGCTTTCCTGTACACCTAGTGGTTGAGAATCCAGATGTGAATTAAATGCAGTTTCTGAGGTGCACTGGTTCATAATTTAGAAGCTGGAACTGGGATGGAACCATTATTTCTGATACTGTGTTGACTGGTGGGCAGGCTGTGACAGACACAGCTTTATGAGAAGAAGCAGGTGATTCTGTATCTCTGGGTGGGGCTGTGGCCGTGCAACCTTGAGACCAGACTTCCAGGAGTAACTTTAAACTTCTATTTCTCTAGGTATTAATTTGTTTTATAAGTACTAAATCTTTGCCTTATAGAATTGTCTGCATTCCTGTACATAGCAGGTTAACTTGTTAGAGCCTAAAATTGGAAACAATGCAAATGTCCATACAGGATGAACAGAAAAACAAAATGAATGCATCCTTAGAATGACAGATAACTAAAGCTGAAAAAGAAAGAGCTATGTTAAAAAAAATCTTGTTGAGTCAAAAAGCCAAACTTGGCCTAAAATTACACATTTATGATAAAAATTTGGAAAATCCTGAAAATGTATATGACTTTGTAATAAAAGAAGCTGATGAGAGTTGTATTAACACTAAAAAAGGAGGTGGAGAGATGGAGAATAAAGAGATCACGAGAGGGCATGAAAAGAAATTAATAATAAGGGAAATGGTCTTTAATTTTAACAAATTGTCTGGTGCATGCATCAGGAAAGATATACATTGGATGCTTTCAAAATGTTAAGCTAATTATATTCAACTATAATTAAAAAATATATTAAAATTATATATACCTGTGAAATATTGTCTAAAGTATAATTTGATAGAAAGTACAAAATAAATAAAACAAAATGTAATATGACATCTTCTTGCCCATTTTGCTGCTTGTCCACCAGGCTGTGGCAGAATTACTCTGCAGGCTGAATACTTTGGGGGGCATGGCTGACCCCAACAGAGTAGCACCCAGAGCCCAGCACAGCCCAACCTCAAAATATCAATCATTACACATTCTTCCTAACTCTTCAAGCGCCTCATCCAGGGGAGCAGACTTTGTCTGCTCCTCCATCTAGCCAAATATCAGCCCACCAAAGGTGAGTCCTGCAGGCAGCTGTTTTATTCTTAACAGCCTCTGTTCCTCAAGGGTAAAATGGCCACAAATTCTTCAGGGGGCAGCAAAGAGGTCACTTTGTCGAAAGTTCTCTCTATGATCCCCAAAGCAGCTAAGATTCAAGTACATGCTGTGTGTGCACCCAAAGTTTTCTTTCATGCCCCTTCGCTGAATTATAACTAATCCCCTAGAGCCATGATTTATTTATCTGAGACCCTTTCCCTGTTGCAAGGCAAACTTGATAAGCACAAGGCCCACACATGTTTTATTCTCCTCGGAGTTTCCAGGGCCCAGCCAAGAGTCTGACACATCACCAAAACTCTGTGAATGCTCATTAAATTAATAAGGGGAAGCACACAATGGAAGGCTGTCACTCTGTGTGAGACTCTTGCAGTCAAATTATGTTTTCATAGACACAAAGGCATTGGTGTTAGTATGACAGGAGACCATTGCCTGTTTGTGGAAATCCTAATTCAGGCTTTTACTGCTCATACAGTCAGAAGAAAGGACAGAACCCTCCTAACAGTGGGAGTTGGACTCCATTTTATTCCCCTTAAAATCACAGCCCTCCACAGACCCACCTTGTGACTTATGTCTCATCACCCAGGGCCTGTCTTCTTCCTGTTCTCACAGACACCTGATCTCACAAAAGCTCTGGATCCTCAATCCTTGGTAGAGTTACTACCAGAGGAAAAAAGAGCATACCCTGACCTTCTAGGAATCAGAGATGACTTTTCATTCTTTTACATAACATCCTTTATGTTATCTGGTCCCCTGCACACATTCTCTGTGTCCTGTAAATGTGAATTTACCTGTATCCACAAACAGAAAAAATATGTTTCTCTATTTTGCCGTTTTTCCAATTCTAGAGATTTTCCTGCTATGTTTTCTCTCACCAACTAAAGGAGTTTATGCAACTTTTTTCAACTTCTACTTTGGTTATAATGTATAAAATACACTGAAAAACTTTCTTTCTTCATGGGATTTGCGACCTACATGCCCATCATAGGTGATTATTACATCTCATGTAATCTCATTAAATTACTCTAAAGGTTGGAACTTTTTTTTTTGACAGGTTCTGGGAGCACCTTCCCCCTCAGGGGCTTCTGTGCTGCTCTCTACACTATGCCTGGCATCATCCAAGGGCAAGTCTGGTGACCACAGGAAAGCCACCCAGGCAGAACTCAGACATTGTCCCAACAGTCAGAGAGCACAGGGGCAGGTCCAACAAACACATGAGGAGTGGGTGGTCTACATTAAGCTGATCCCTGAGAACCAGGAAGCCCACAGGCACCTGACATTTCACCAAAGGCCTTTCTTCCAGGGATACTCAGGACATCTCCCACTTCACACCCAAAATATTCACATCCTACTGAGAGTTCTTCTTCTAAGTCTTTGTTCCTAGAAGAAAAATCCAGTGTAGTGACAACCTGAGACAGAAGAAGGGTCCCCACTGAAATTTTCACAAGGCTGACCCTTTTCACTGCCAGATTCATCTCTGTGACATTTCTGCTGGGAGGAAATAAAACCTCAGGGCATTTGAGAACATGGGGAGGACCCAGTGCCCAACTGGGTTTCTGTGTCACAAACAGAAATATTACAGATATTTTCAGAATGCCAGAGCCTCTCTGTGTGGTGCTGACAGAGAAAAGACCAAGACAAAGAAGGGTCCAATGCTGGTATGAGTGAGTCAACCTTTCAGGGATGTATATGCCCCTTCAGCCTTGCTAATGCAAGTGTACACTACAGGTCAGTAGGCACAACCTCTCCTGAGAGTTTGTCAGATGCAGAGTCTCTGACCCACTGCAGCCCAGTCAGAATTGGCAGTTTAATGGGACCTGGAGACATCCCCTCTGCACAGGAGAGCAACAGAAGTGATTCTACCCTCCCATGAAGGGACCTCACTTTCATTGGACAGCCTAACTAGCCACACAGCTGCTGAAGCTGCATTTTTAAGGTGTCACCTGGGCATTGTAATGTTTACAATGTCTCACAGGTGATCCAATGCACAGCAGGGGTGATATTCCTGTTTTAGGTTATTCTGACTTAGCTCAAGAACACCTGCTCTTAAGAGAAAAGTCAAGTGTGAAAGAGAGAGGCTGTGGGCAAGACTATCGGGTACCATACAGGAAGCTTTGTGAAAACCCTGAAAGCCAGAAACCTGAGGCTTGTGCTTTTCCTAACACAGCATGAGGGTGTGTGTGTGTGTGTGTGTGTGTGTGTGTGTGTGTGTGTGTGTTTATAAGCATGTGTGCTTGTGCGTGTCTGTGTGGTTTTAAGAAGCTTCAGGAGTTCTCAAGGGGGCAAAATATAGGCTCTCAGCACTGATCAAAACGGACAAAGGTGGAAAAAACTGAAGGCGGGGCTTTGAAGGGTCCTATGTGCAAACCCCACCCCCAGCCCACATGACAAGAATAGTAAACATGTCCCAGAATAAATAAAGCTCAGCTCACAGGTAGAACACACAGCAGATTGCACCATTCTGGACAGAGGTGCCTGTGAGCCTTACAGAACCTCAGGCTTTTCTGAAAGACAAAGCCACAGAGGAGGCAGCAGACACCATGAGGTCCATTTCAGTCTATACCCACAGAGGACATGTCCAATGGCAAGGGCTCCTGCTGGTTGGTAAGTAGGAGACAATTCCTTGGGGCTAACTAGGGATCTGACACAGAAACTGGCTGGGACCTGCTGAAGAGACCAGTGCTCTGAGAAAAGAGGGAAGGCTTCTTTCTGGACCTAAGTGTAAAGGACAAAGGGAAAGAGTAGGATGGGGAAGGGGGCTCAGCAAGAGGAAAATCTCATAATCTGGAAGTGGTGGGAGGTAGGACAACCTGAGTTGCTGTTCATTTCCTGTTATTCATCACTGAGTATTGAATTATGAAAACTGGTAATAATAACAATGATTTATGTCAGGAGAGAGAAGAAAAACATTCATCCAGGGGTGCTAGGTGTTGTCTTTTCCAGAAACCTCAGGAATGGGTAAATGCATCCCATGGTTTAGAGGACCGTAGGGAAACTAATTCATTAAACCCCATGTATTTCTAGGTGCTGGGAGTCACTGAAAGTATTAGGTCAGAGAAGCCCTGCTCTCATCAAGTCCATGTTCTATGGAGGAGACAGGGACAAGGAAAAGTCCAAATGTGAGGTCAGGAACCCACAACGGCCATGAGAAAAACAGGAGGACAGGTCAGAAAGTAAAGGCAGAGAACATCTTTAGGGAAGGTGGCAGAGCAAAGACCAAGACAAAGAAGGGTCCAATGCTGGCATGAGTGGGTCAGCAAAGGTGTCTTTCAAAAATGTTCCTCAGTGTCAGAAGGAGTCTGAGTGTCATGAAGGGGTGAATAAAACAAACACCTAGAGAAGAGTAGTTGAAACAGAAAAAGTAACAGTTTCAGGGGTGCTAGAAGTTCCTTTCAGAAGTAATGGGGGCAATGCTGTTGACCATGACCATGGGAGACACTCTTATGCAGACCAAGGCTGACAGATAAAGAGACCTTCTCAGGATTCAGGGTCCAATCTTTCCAACCCAATACAAAGATACAAATATTGATCAATTTCTCTTTTCTATTTTCTAGTCTCACTCTTAAACTTCTGGAGCTTGCCCACCATGGCCCAGAAGGATATATGGATTAAAGATGCTGCCGAAGGGGAGGATGCGCATTTACGTATCCTCAACAAGCCTCCCGATGTAACACGCCTTGCATGGTACAGAGGGAAAGTTCCGGACAAAGATCATATAATTGCATTTTTATCACAAATCCCAAACTTTAATGTAAGAATTCCAGAGAGTGGACATACAATACTAAACAGTGATGGTTCTTTGCTGATAAAGAAGGTCAACATGCACGACTCAGGAATCTACACCGTAGCAGTGGAACAAAAAAATTCCAAAATATTAATGGGATATGGACTGCTCAGAGTATACCGTGAGTGATTGCTTTCTGACCTCTAGGTATCGGGTGGGGTGACTCCAATTTCACACACAGGACTGAACACCCTGGATACTACCTCCATTCTCTTCTGCATTTTGTTTCAGGTTCAATTTTGACATTTAATGCAGGATACACAGAGTGTGGACAAACTTCTTAAGATCTCAGTTCCCTTCTCAACTTGCAGCTCTGCAGGCAGTCACTGCAGACAGAAGGGTCAGTCTGATGAGAGTAACTCAGCAGAGGGAAACCAGTCTCAGTTTAGCCCCCTGAGCATGTTCTTATGATCTTGACCTGAGGCTGACCCTGCTATACTAGGTCAGAACATGGTCTGAGATGCCTCTTCATATTCATACAGAGGTCAACTCAGTGACCTTTTCCCAGAACACTGAGCCAGAGATCTGGACTCTAGAAATGCTAGGAATCCTTGTTCCAGGTTGTGTTCAGCGTCCTTGAAAGGGCTGAGTGTGTAACAGTTTAATGGGACCATGAGTCACAAGGCTCCTGAAGCAGTAACCAGTACAGGCTCAGGCCCAAGAGGCACATCTTAGCAGAAATGGAGTTTGGTGTCACCTGAGTCTGTGTGTGGAGGCCACAGTTAGACAGTGTCTCTGGATATTAACTGACTGTCCTCAGGGGCTCAGGAAGGTTTAGAAAAAGGTCAGCATCTCCAGAAAGAAACTGAGAAAAAAAGATGTACCAGTCCTCATTCACCAGAGATCAGCCCAGGGGATTCTCTCATGGAGTCAATCAATAAGAGGTGCCTCCTTGGAGCAGCTCTTCTATTTCAAGATTTAGGTCAGATCCTCTAAATATTTTACAGTTACAGTGATTACAACCTGGCAGCCAAATATTCATTGAGAATAAACTGAGAAACAGAAAGATACTGTCAGTAAATAAGTCACACAATCCATGAGCAGCTTATCAGAGTCATTTGAGTGCTGTTTGTAGTCAGAGACTTGATTTCTCTACCTCAGGGGCCATATGAGGGGCTCTGTGGGTTCCTAAACCAATGAATTGGTTCAGATACTTTTTCTCTAGGCCTCCTCAGCTCACAGGAATACACTTTGTTTTGTGGAGTGAGCAAAATGGAGAAACAATTTATTTTACTCCAGAATCCATTTGCCTGCAGTAACGGGCACAGTCACTGCATAGATTACCCAGGCCTCCCTCTGAGGTGGCCCAGCCACACCTCCCTGCACTGGACTTGACATCATTTATTTGATTCCTGCTGTGGTGCAGTCACACCCACCAGATATAAAGGAAAGGACTTTGCCTTCAGATTCCACACTCTACCCCTGAAACCAGCTTAGAACTAACATGTAACAAATACTCAGTTGCTTTTGATATATTAGGAAGAAATAAATGGTGATTTAATGAGAGAATGAATGACCCAAAATTTCTTCAGAGCTGGAACGTGGATTCAGAGACCTTGGAATGCTCACCATAGGGGACAATCTTTCTGTGCTTCCCGGAACAAAGACCATCATCTCAGATCCTTTTAATTTCTCTAATAAAATAGTTCTTTTTGCAATTGTACTTGGGCCCTGGGCTATTGATAATAATTTTCACATACAGAAGAATTTTAAGTTTTCTCCAAATTTCTTTCTCATGGCCACCTAACACAAATTGCTCACTGGCACCAGAATTTAAAGAAGTGAAATTTCCCCATTTGCTCTAACTGACACATTTTGCATTTGCCCAAGTCCTCACCTGCCCTCAGAGGAGACAGAATAATTTTAACAGTCAAGGGCAGAGCATGTGATTTTGCTGTCATAATCAGCTTCTGTCTGTCCCTTTTCCTCTTTCCTAAATCATTTATTGAAATTTGCTCTATTATTTATTGGCTCACTGGCTCATTTCATTCACCTTCAGCTGAAAAATCCTGTCCCACCTCTTCCTCCAGAGGTGTGAGTAATCAATTTACCACTGGGTTGCCTCTGATCCTTAAGTGTTGTTTCTGCTCTAACCCCAGTCTCCAGGATGTCCTGGGAAACAGTGCCTCATGGAAACACACCTCAGCTGGGCAGTAGAAGTCTGTGCAGCTGGAAGGAAAGCTTTCTGCTGAGCCAGGAAGTCAGCTGAGGTGGTCAGTGAAGAATGAAGATAAATGCAGGGGTGTCTCTGGCTCCTGTTCCTATGTCTTTCCATAACCAAACACTGATACTAAACTAACACCTGAGGAAGTCTGTATTTCCCCCAGACCTGTAGCTGGAGGCCATACATTCACTGAGCACTCATATTCCCAAATATTTTTTGTTACACATTGACCTGCCTTATTATTTCAAAGAGTCAAGTTACAGAGATATAAGAATTGCCAACTATGACTGAGGAAGCTTTTGGGGAAATTAAAGGTACCACACAGGGCCATTATTCCTCTTACAAGCCAAGTAAAGTTAACCCCACCCAGCATCGCAAGCAACAAATTTGACCTTGAGAGATTAGATTTTCATTTTATTTAATAATATTGCTATTGAGCATCATTTTTGAGTGACTATTGGCCATTTGTATATATTCTCTGGAGAAAATTCTACTCAAGTGATTTGTCCCTTTATAAATCAGATTATCTGTTTTATCTTTGTGTAGAGTTGTAGATCTTTTGTGTACTCTAGACATTAACCTTTGATTTTTTATAGGATTTGTGAAATATTTTCTCCATTTCATAGGTCAGCTTTCAATCTGTTGTGCTTTTTGATCAAGAGAATTTTTTATTTTGACAAAATTTGAATTGTCTGTTTTTGCATGTATTCTTAGTGTCATATTCATAAAATCATTGCCAACTTAATGTCATAATGCTTCTTTGTATACTTTTTCTAAGCATTTTAAACTTTTAGGTCTAACTTTTACAATTTGATCTATTTTTTACCTAATTTTTGTGTGTAGTAGAAGCCAACAATCCATGCCTATTATTTGCATGTGGATATTCCTTTTCAGCATCATTGTTAAAAAGTCTGTCCTTTCTCCATTGAATAGTCTAGACCTTTTCATTGACACCATTTGATCGTGTCTTTGATGAATAGAAGTTTTCATGCCAGCATCACACTGTTTTTGTTACCTTAGCTCTGCAGTAAGTTTTGAGCTTAGGAAACTCGAGACCTCCTAGTGCATTCTTTTTAAACACCATTTCAACAATTTGGGGTTCTTTTAAATTTCTTATGAAATGTAGGATGTAATTTTCTATTTCTTTCAGGAAGACCTTGAGGTTTTGGTAGTGATTATGTCAAATATTCACATAGCTAGGAGTCTTCCAATAAATTAACGTGTATGTTTTATTTATTTATTTCTGTCTAATTTCTTTCAAAAATGTTCCGTAGTTTTCAGTGTATACAAGTTCTTCCTTATTAATTAAGTTTATTCCTTTTTATTATAGTCTTTTGATGGTATAGCAAATGGAACATTTTTTAAATTCTGCTTTGAAATTTTTTATTGTTGTTGTAAGAAAAGAAAGTGATCTTAAGTGTTGATTTTATTTCCTGCAACTTTGCCTTCTTTATTAGTTCTAAGTGTGTGTGTGTTTGTGTGTGTCAGAAACTTTATGATTTTCTATATATAAGATTATGATACCTTTTCAAAAAGGATATTTTTTTCCTTTTCACCAATTTGGATGCAAATTTTTCATTTTCTTTAAAAAACGTTGTGGTGAAAACTTTCAGTACTCTGTTGAATATATGGAATTATAGCATCTATTTCTTTTTCATGATATTACTAAAATTTTTTGAGTGTCCCCATGGAATATTGGGTTAACTCTGGGCTTTTATGTGTGGCCTTTATTCTAGTGTATCGTTTTCTTCTATTCCTATAGTCAGTGTTCTTTTTAAACCATAACCACTTCCCTCTAGAGATTAATTTCAACATGATATTGAATCAGTAGGCCAGGAAATAAAACCTTGTTCAGACTTAAAAATGTTTTAGACAGAAATCCTTCAGGTCTACAGTCATGAAGACAGGATCAGGCCATTTTTGTTACCTAACAAATTATTTAACAAAAGCTAAATGCTTTCCCACTTACTGTGAACTTCCCTTGGCTGTAGAGATGGACAAAGGTGGTAGCCTGCCTTCACCAACACACATAAAATTCTACATAAGTAGTAGGATGCTTTTTGAACTCAAAAAAAATTCTAGAAAAAGATCAAGAAAAGCTCATGAGTTAAAAACTGTACCTGATGATGAGGTTATAGGACACAGGGTCTTGGAAAGAAGATCTGTGTGCTGCTACAACACAGATGTCTGCAAGAACAGTTAACAAATCACCTGAACGTTATATGGGGTCAGAGAGGAGGTACAGCTCTCTCCTTACATATTGTCACCTGAATATACACAATTGTTCTTCTGCAAATGTCAGAACCTTACTCTGGTGAACTTTAAGTAGCTCACTGTGGACTGTGAGTGGCTGAGATTTCTGAGGAAGCAGCATGGTACCATGTCTCAAGCCCATTCTCAGTAAGTGACATTCTCTGTTTCTCCACAGCGCGTGTGAAAAAGCCCACCCTCCGAGCCAGCAACACCACAGTCACAGAGAATAAAGATGCTGTGGTCTTCACCTGCAACTCCTCATATGCACTCAACATCCAGTGGTTCTTCAATGGCAAAAAAATGCGGTCCACACAGCGAATGAAGCTGTCCAAGGGCTATCGAAGACTCACCATAAAACCTGTCAAGAGGGAAGATGCTGGGAAGTACCAGTGTAAAGCCTCCAACCCCATTAGTTCTGCTGCAAGTGTGACCCTTAAGCTGAATGTGAATTTTGAGTGACTCTCCTTTCCCCTTCTATGCTGTTATACTTTAAATAAAAGGTTCTCTTGCATTATTAGAATAGATTAATTCTGAAGGTGAATAGTCCTTAAAAATTTGCATTTACTCAATAAACAGTTAAAAATCCAAGGTAGCATTGTCATTATTCTTGCCTTAAAGTCACATTTCAGACCAAACCCCACCTCAGTTTGATCTCATGTGTACCATGTCCACAGTGTAGGTGGCACTGTGTCCCTCAGAGGATGAGCAGTGGTCATATGACAACCAATGGGATCAGGTGAAGTGCTTAGAGAATCTGAGCAGTGTCTCTCCTCCATGCAAACATGTGCAGGCAGCGGGACACTGTTGTAGACAATGGGAATGGACACAAGGACACCATGTGAGTATCAACACTGATTTTGTTTGTGTCTAAAAGTCTCTGTTGTTTATATATCAATAAAATTATTGCTATTGGTCCAGTACATTTCTGTTCTTTTTGTTAAGAAGATATAATTGGAAACTTTGGTAATAATACCAAAGCTTTAGCTCAAATGGCCTAGTTCAGAACCTTGTGCATGGAATTAGAAAAGACTTCACACTTTACAGAGTCAAGTTTAATCTTTTTGGTCTTTTGGTACCTCTTGGAGAAGAGGACATCACCTAAAACTTGAGAAAGGGAGGTGAAGTGTGAGGATGAGGATTCCTAACCTCAAGTAGCTGTTAAAAATCCTCATTATATGTTTTATAAAAAAACATTTATCTAATCAAACTATTTGGTGTCAGTTTCTCTGCACTTAGGTAACTGATCAGGCTGAATCAGGTGACACCAGCCATGTTGTAGGATCAAGAACACAATTCTTCCTTGGTGATTAATTTTGATGAACAGGAAAGTGACAGTAGAGATAAATATAAAGTCTGAAAGGAACACTTTAGAAGCACAGCCTCCTGGGAGATCAAATCCTGGCTCTGTTCAGGGAGTCTCAATTACTTTCACCTGTTTGTAAATTGCAAGGATTGATGTAGATGCAAAATGGACCTTGTCTGAAAGAGATGTAGATGTGTTTCCCTCCACTGTGCACAAGCAGGTTTGTTATTGATAGGGGACTCAAGACTTGGGAAATTTTAGCTTAAGGTAAAAAGTTATAAGTCCAGCAAATAATGTGTATGTAAAAGCTTTTGTTTCAGAAACTACAAATAAGGCATGTCCTGTCTCCTGTGAAAACAGCTGACCTCCTGGAGGACTGCTAAAGATTATCCCCTGAGGACAACAGGAGGCCTCTGAGACTTTGAGTTCCAGGGAGAGAGAGAGAGAGGGAGGGAGGAAGATAGAGAAAGATAAAGAAAGAGAGAGAGAGAGAGGGAGAGAGAGAGAGAGAGAGAGACCACCCCTGGGTACAGCTTACTGCCCAAGACAGGAATGTTGTAGCTTCTGAATATTACAGCCCTCACAGCACCTTGTTCATTCAGCCCTTATTAAAAAGTCTGGCTTATACAATGGAATTCTATGCTGCAGAGAGAAAGAAGGAGCTACTACCTTTTGCAACAACATGGATGGAACTGGAAAGCATTATGCTGAGTGAAATAGGCCAGGTGCTGAAAGACAAATACCATATGATCTCACCTTTAACAGGAAGCTAAACAACAAAACAAACAAGCAAGCAGAAAAAGAAAACAAAGACACTGAAATAAAGAACAAGGGGATAGTGACCAGAGGGGGAGAAGGAAGGGAAGTTAAAGGGAAAAAGGGGCAGGGATTTGGAGGAACAAATAGGAAGGACACAGGGATGAGAACTAAGGGGTGTGGAAATGGGAGGGAGGTGGGGAGCAAGGGGCGGGGGAGGCTGGGATGGGAAAAATAGACAAAAAAACTGTACTTGAAAAATAACTAAATTAAATTAATTTTTAAAAAAGTCTGGCTTAGAAAGAGAAGACAAGGTGGTCTGTTAGGGTACGAACTTACCATCTTCTCAGATGGCCAGCCTTGTGAATAAAGTGCCCATAAAGATTCAATTGCTGTCATTGCTTATTGGGTTTTGTAGTGACAGGCAGCCTAAACTCTGGTGTCTTTTCTGGTTTCATTATGACCTAGAGGACTTAGTGTTTCCTCATAGTCGTCAACCTTCGCACAGGTCCTTTCTGATTGCAGGCCTCTGATCTCCGTATTTTAGAGCATCCTCTTTATAAATGTATTTGAAACTTTTAATTATAGAATCTTTATTTTGCCTGCTTGAAACACATAAGCATTCTTAAAAGTTTCTTGCCAGTGTTATAATTTTATAATTCTTAAAATTTAGTCCTCCTAAATTTTAGGAATCTCTGTGTATCAGTCCCTGCAGGGGATAGAAGCCTAACTTGGGTGAGGACCTATAAAACCAGGAGGTAAAATGACCTCTTGTAGAGATGTTATGAAAAGTTTCAATTTTTTTTTCTGTAAAGCCAATTAGCAAACAGAAATGCCTTTGATTCTTTCTCATGCTGTTAAAATCTTCACAGCCTGCTGTTTAATGGGTGCTAATTTCTGGTTCACTATGATAATGCATGGTTTTTCATAAAGGGTTTCTTGTCTCTTAGATTTGTTTGATGCATGTTTCACCCTGACATCACCTATCAGTACTTATAATTACCTGATTCTGTCATCTTGCTTACAGTTGCTCATCCTTATTATATTTTCAAATACTCCAAATATTTTTAAACTGGCTGAAACTTTCAATACATATTTCCCACTGTCCTGCCTCACTCAGTCCTGCATTGGTGTCTACAGCATAAGATGACCTGACTACCTAAATTGTTTTGGAAACAAGGTTGATTTAAATGAACTTTGTCTTAGATTCTGAGAAAAAGGGTAGAGATAAAACACTGCACCTCTGCAACAGCCTAACCAACAGCAGTGATCTCATTCTACTTACATTTTCACTCTCTCTCAAGGAACAAGTTTACAGAGATTGTAAAAATATTCCATCATGAATCTCTGAAACTCTTATAAACATGCAGATCCCTGCCACATCAGCCACCCACAGGTCTGCACTGGAAGACCCTGTTTTTTGCCTCCTGTGACATGGATCTCAGGTAGGTATCAGTGACCTGGTAACCAGATGCACTAGGCAAGAAAAGTCATGTAACATGACACATGGGATAAAAATCAAGGAAAAAAAGGAGATGAGTCTAGGGGTCTAGGAGTCTGAAGAGCAATGACAGTTCGTGAGATTGTGCATATGAAGTCACCAGATTTTATCCTATAGTTTATTTCAATTCATGTTTTCCCCTCCTTTCTCTCACCCCATTTACCTTCTTCTTTCCTTGCATTATTTTCATTTCAAATTTTGTTTTTTCTATTTCTACAACTTGTTTTCATTCCACACTCTTACTATTTCTCCCCCATCCAGACACAGGAAACCGATTTTCTTATCAATGGTCATCTCATTTCCTTTTTCTACCGTTCTTAATATGCGTTTTCTCTCCATCTTTAGCAATTTTTGCTAGTTTGTGGTAGGTAGGGTAGTTGTTGGTTTTTTCATTTTTATCTTGAGATCTTCACAAATTTTGTAGTTCAAATGTCAAATTTTACTGGTCCCCTCTCCTTCTCCTCTTTTCTCTTCTAAAATTTTAAATTTTGCCTTAACTTGTTTTTGTCTGTCCTCCATTTATCTCTCACCTGCTTTTTTGTTTTTCTTCATTCTTTTTGTATCAGTATTTTCTTTTTGCATACATCCCAAATTTTATTTTTTTCCTGTATTAATCTGGTTTTTGTTCCTCACTGTTATTATTCCCTTTCCCTCTGTCATTTCAAAATTATCTCCCATTCCTCTAGACATGTATTGACCTTTCTTTCTTTTCCCCTCTTATTCTCATACCACCTATATTAATTTTACGTCATTTATTGTTGATAGTACTGTGGTAGATCTTTCTCTTCAATTTGGTTCCCATATTTTGTTAATTACTTACTACTTTCACCTCTTTTCTTCCTCTGACTTTATTTTTATATTATTTTAATTTCTGTTTAAACATAATACTATAAGCTTCCCTCCTCATATTCCACTGCAAATTCTTCACTCCTTTTTTAATATATGATGTAAATTTTACTTTCTCTCTTTGCATTGCTCCAACTCTCATTTCTTATTCGTGCTCCTTTACCCTCTTAAAATTATTTTACTTTCAGAAGTCACCCAATATCCCCTCTCATTTGTATAATAGTCTTCATCTATTTACACCCTTATTATATACCATATTTTTAAGGACATAAGATGCAACTAAGCTTTAGAAGAGGAAAATAGATAAAGAAATTTTGAAGCAAAAATATGGTAAAGTTGAATAAAATGAATAACATAACATTTCACCAATTTAAATGTAAACACAACTCAACAGCAGCACTAAACAGCCATTATTCACCCTAAATCTGGGTGGGGGGAATGTGCGTCTTATAGTCTGAAAAATATGGAACTAGTTCATTTGCTGTTAATAGTGAGATAGTGGGGGTAATTATTTTTGTGGGTGTGGGTTTTTTCCTGGTATTCATGGTTTTCTTCTCCCAATATCATCAAAACAGCACATAACAGGTGGTGGGAGGAGTGACCCTCGGTCAACCAGCTGGAGGGAGAGACACACCAAAAAAACACCCCAAGACAAACGAAACCCAATTACATCCAGAGAATTAACATAAAAAGAATAAAGAACATACCAAGAGCATTTAGTTCAGGTGATCTGAGGAGACTGTACCACTGAATGGCACAGGCCTTCTAATGTTGAACTTCTCATCACAGAGTCAGGAAGTCAAAACAGATCAATTTAAGAAGCAGTAGCAAACAAGAAGAGCCAAACAAATAATGGGAAGTTAAAGAAAAAAATCCCCAATTGAAAGGAAAGAGAGACTCCTCAGGGAAAGTACTAAATGGAATAGAGGCAAGTCAACTGTCAGATGTTGAGTTCAAAACAGTGGTTATAAGGAAGCTCAATGAGCTCACAGAGATTTACCAAAAACTACAGGAAACCTACAAAGAACTTACTGAAAACTATATCAGCACATA